CTGGAAGCAGCACGAACAGGTTGTCTTCTACACTGCTTTTAAGATGCTGCTTTAAAGATTTCCACAGTACTTCAGCTCAGCCTCACAACCAATTTATTAAAATTGCTTCAAGGGAGCTGGCTGCATAGCTTGGAAAAAATTATTTAATGAGTAAAATAATATTAGTCCTAACTTTGAATTTTAAATAATTTAAGAAAAATCTTGAACTTACACATAACGTTTAATGGTTTATGCATGATTAAGTGTATTCTTTTAACAACAGCTTAAATTACAATATTATCAATTTTTAAAATTTTCATTATCTGTATTTTTCACAGTGTGGTTTTATAGATGTCAATCTCTGGAAATTTATTATTTAATATTTCTACTTTAAACTTCTATTTGTCTGAATCAAGCATCTTCCATTCCTTTCTCAATTTGTTTCTAAATTCTTTACATACCTATAGTTTATTTAACATACAACAACCAGTGCTGCACCTGTCTGAAATTCAGTGGGTACCAGCAAGACCAGCTTCACAAAAAGAACATTGGATTACTGACAGTGTATTTTTATAGAAGCAAGCTTAAGGAACCAAGTACTATAAGCACCTGGTTAATTTTGTTGTATTCAGTCTTTCTTCATCTTTCACCCCATATTTAAAACATAAAAGGCTTTCTAGCTTTTAATAATGAAAAATAAATACACCAGATAGTTGGCTTAATTGATACTCATTATGTATCTGCTATATAACAGACTGAAAAAGTAACCCATATAGTATCTAACTAATGGTAGTTATGAGGATTTAAAACTCAATTTCGACACTAGAAATATTACCATTTAACTGGTAATTGATACTTTCTCTTGACATGAAGCCTTTTTACGGTATCCTAAGTGAATTACAGCTAAAAAAAGCCCCAAATGCCTATTTCTCTTATTAAAGGCAGGTTCCACCAGCTCACATAACACTGTCACATCTGAAATGTTCCTGCACTCCACCCAACCATTTCTAGAAGCTTAGCCTATCAGGTGTCCACTACCCACCAACAGAAAAACATCTCCTCTAGTGCTGTCACGTTACCACCTACGGGTAACGTCTTCTGGAGCTGCTGTTTCAGGCCTGATCACTCAGATTATCACCACCACTGGAAAAGTTTTTCTCTTCATATAACAGTGAAAGCCGCATCATTATATACAGCTTCACTTCTCATGCACCTTGGAAACTTCTGCGTCCAAGTGTTTCAAGCAACAAATCATGCGAGTTAATCCAATAACGTATTCTTATAAGGAATAAATATTTTTGTAATAGAAAGGGAATGCAGAGGAAAAAAAATTGTGGGTAAAACACAGCTAAGCATGGGAAAGA